TAAGTAATTTAAAGTCAAATCATATTTGATTCTTCTTTATGACGTTGGAAACAGGTTTACTTCAGTCAGTCAAGCATCATACGTGAGCCTCGCTATTCTATGAATCAGTTTAGTTGCTGTTCTCTGAACATCTTTCAAAAGCTCACCGTCCTTTTTTAGATAGAAGCTAACCTCTTTTATGCAGTACTCGAGTTTAGAACGAATGAATACTGTGTAGCTGTAAATAATTCCCCAAAATCAATAGCTCTGTAAGTGTTCGGCATTGGATGCTGACCACATTAGTTTAAGTGGACTTGTTTAGCTGAAGGTGCTCGGTCATGCATCCGCACCAGATCACGTTACAGCACAGCGTGAGAAACATCTCCTACGATCATTAGCCAGATTAGATCAATCGCTTCTCGATATATTGATAACCCATCCAATATATATTCCAACCCCTTCGCTTCTAGCGTCTGATTTTAACTGGGTGGGCACGATTCGATTATAGGTGTTACTAGTAAAGACTTGTCAAACTACAATACTGGTGGTATCTTCAACTGTATACAAAGTCAAAAAAGTTTTAAGATAGACAGGGCTAAAGGCCTTACGTATTGACTGTGAAGTTCTAAAACGTCTAAAGGCTATTTCAGGGCAGTGTACATTTGCTTCAGTGTACTGTCTATGGATGACTCCTAAGTCGTCATGTGTCTGGGCAACAGGAAGTTCAATGTTATTCATAGTGTATGTATTTGTACCTTGGTGATCAATATGCTTCAGAATGCACTTGGAAGTATTTATCGCTAACTGCCAAGTTTGAGGCCATTCAGATACTTTTTACAGGTCATTTTGAAGCTCTAAGCTGACATACTTTCTTCCTATCGTTTTCCATGTCTTGATATCGTCAGTATTTGGTAAAACCGATGATGGCCGTAAACGAAAAAGGTCATTCACGTATAAGGGTAATAACAGTTACCCCAAAACTGTACCATGAGGCACTCCACTAGGCACAGTTTCTTCAGATATACAATTTAGAGTTCACCCATCCTCTTTGTTTGCACCCAAATAGGAAGTCTTCTATCCACATGAATACATTTCCTTCAACCCTGACGTTTCTTAGCTTATATAACAGTCGGTTGTGATGAACTTCGTCAAACGCTTAGCTGAAGTCAATGTAGGCTACATTCATAGGTAACTTTTGGTCTTTAAGGGCGCACCAGCTTTCCAGAGCCACTAATAAGTTAAATGGTTCAAATGGTTGTGGACGGAATAGAAGAAGCTTTCGCTTAACGGGCTTCCGTGTCTAGTAGCAGTGGATCACCAATACCTCCAGGCAAGAACCTAGGTATATTAACGATAATAGAGGAAAAAACGAATTTGGTAAATCATAATGTTATCCTTAGTCCTTAAGAATAGATCAAATGTCCTCTTAAAGGACTCCTGGGAAGTCTCTTGGACTAGCTCGGTGGGCAGCGAATTCCAGCATTTGACTACTCTTTCGGAGTAGAAGTTGTGTCTACAGTTTATTCTGCTATGTTGGGTCTCCAGTTTCTGGGTGTTACCCCTTAGGTTGATGTTGTGACTAAGCTTAAGAAGATGATTAAGGGGATAACCAGAAGTGTTAAGGATATTTTAGGTCGTAAGAAGGTCATTTTTAAGACGCCTGTACTCTAGCGGGTAAAGGTTAAGTGATTGGAGGCGCTCTTCATAAGGCTTAAATTTGAGTCCCCGAACTGATTTCGTGGCTCGACGTTGTATACGTTCCAGAGTGTCCTTATCCTTTCGGAGGGAGGGAGGAAATACCATGTTTCTGTACTCTAAATGGGGAAGTTAGTGAGATAGGAATAACTTATTATAAAGTCATGCTTCTTTTCCGAAAGAATCAGGTTTCCATCGAGATAAGTAAACAACTCCTTCCGAATTACAATTTCTAAAACTTTGACAACCACGCTGGTTAGGCTAACGGGTCAGCTGTTCCCAGGTTTATATTTCGTGTCTGTTTTGAAGATAGGACTTACTTTGGCGTTATCTAGTTCCTTTAGTAACCTAGGATGTGTTTCCCCGGGTCCCACGGGCTTGCTTATATCAAGCATAGTTAGCAGAACAAAGACATCGAGTTCTTTAATGGTCAAAATGGTTTCAAATAGTTTTGAATGGTCCTAAACGGAATAGAAGAAGCTTTATGTTAACGGGCTTCCGTATCTACCAGTAGTGTATCACCTAGGCCTCCTGGAAGAGTCCTAGATATAATTAACGGTAAAGAAAGAAACAACAATAAAATTAAGCATTATGCTTTCCCTAGTTTGTATGTATTGGTAGTTTTATTAAATCCTATCACAGTTAAGTAATAAGGGAGGTCAAGAAAATCTCTCTGCAACTAAATAAACCATAATAAACAGGTCAAACTGTGACACTAATATAAATTCTTCCTCTCTGCGGTTGTATTTTGTCCCTTCAGTCAGACTACTAATGCAGATGCAATTGGAAATCAACTCATAACGGCATAAACGTCAACTGACCTAATTTAAACCGAAGGTAATACGAATATCGACATTCATACAATATTGATTGCCTTTCTATTTCTAAGAACAAAATAAGTATACCGTCCACGAGTTAGGCTTTAAATCATCCGTTGTTACTGTGCATCTAGATGTGACTTGTTAAAATATCTCTACACTGAATCACTGAATCATCATGATAATCTCACTTTTTTGACTCTCAAATAATATGCATGTAGGTTCTCATTTTTGGCGCGTTCAGGATTAAACCAAACATTTTGTAATTATTAGATGTATTTTTCGATCAGTTGCTGCCGCCTTCTTTTTGATTTATCCTTCGCCTTATCAATACATGTGGATTCTTATTATTTATTTGAAAACACCCGGTGCTCGACAATCCCACTCAGTTTCAAATCGTGTCAACGTCATGTTGATTCTGGCGGGAAATTAGTTTAGTGATACCGGTTTCTAACCTCACGATTCTCGAGGCTGAACATATAGTTACTGAAAAGATTTACATAGTACATGTAACGTATATAAGGACAACAGGAGTGAACGGGAAAACGAAGAGTCGGAATGGAGTGGCTTGGTCATTCAGGTGTGGTCACACAACCTCCCTTTTATTGTATCAAATATGTTACTCTTCTCCCAGCTCAAATGTGTTCTTCAGAAATGCTAGACGTCATATTTCTGGTAGTTGCGATCGGAAGAGTTAGTGTAGGCAACAATGTGACTTCCACATAATATCTTGAAGACCAGGTGTAAGATCCAAAACCTAGATTACAATAGGTCTGGATGTGGCCGAATAACCGAGGAATAGTGTCATACACTCGTGCCCCAATCTAAATCAGAACAAAGTGTTTTGGGTAACACGGTTCTAAACAAATATTACCACCCAGTTATTTAACCAACAATTGATACCAAAATTTTCAATCGAAAACACCAAAAGGTAAGCGTTATTCTATCCTTTCTGGATAGATCAAGTAAGATTCCGTTTGAGCGGCTGTTTTATAACACAGTGTTTCAATTTCTAGGAAAGTGCTCCAAATTACAACCAAAAATGCACGATCCCAGTCAAAATCAAACCGCACAGTCAAATAGCGAGCAGTCAATATGGCAGACGCCAGAATAATAGCAATTAAAACAAACTAGATGCAGTTCAGTAAGTAACATAGAGACTCAATAAAAACAATAGTAAAACCAAGGTAATTAAACGTTACAGTCTTAATTAGCATCAAAAAAGATAACAACATATACAATTAAAAAAAATATAAGGAAGAAATCACAAATGTATGCATGGAGGGATTTTCACTTGCAAAATGGATCCAACACTAGGTAGTCAACTAATAACAAATCTACAATTATTATAGCAGTATTAATACCAAATTAGAGCATAATTCTACATATTAACTATAAAATCTTAACGAAAAGAGGCTGCTGAATCATTACATAAGGTGATGTTCGGGTTCAATATGATAATATGACAATACGATAATGAATAACCCAAAATGTTCTAAGTAGACACATCAAATCAAACAACCTTTCGCATTCCGCTTTTGATAATGTTGAGACAGAGAAGACTTATGGTGAAACATTTTGTAATTCTAAGGTGCCAGCAGGACCTCTTAACTCCCTAGTGATCATAAAAGCACTTATTTACATTAGAGTTTAGGGACTTGGGTTCTAGGTAGATTGTCACTGAACAATAAAACAGCAGCAATAGGCTGGACCCTCAGGGTGGTTTGACTGTCACTATAGGCTAATGAAACAAGGTAGAGAGAGTTCTAATGGCTTATGTTACCCCCATTATGTGACCTGAAAGCCACTTTGTCAGATGTAAACTATTACCTATGGATTTCAGCTTAAACACAATAACTTTTTCTCTTGGGATATTCAAGGTTTTTGTCATAAAATCCAGAAGTCAAGCCAAGAGGACACTTTGTAGAAGTCTAAGACGCCTAATTTTAGTTGATCGTTGTGATCTACTGAAAAAGTCAATGTACAACAGGCAGTCAATATTTTTGTACCAGAAGATCTGTTAGGGAGAAAACTATGTTTTGATTAGGACAAAGTGAAGTTGTTGAGAAGATCTTTTAGAAAAGGTGATTGAACTATTATTTTCATGACATTCGTTTTCGCGAAAAACTGGGAATTTAGTAACTGGGGTCTTCCAGCTGTTTATCTCTGTTATATAAAGTATGACTACACTTTTTTAAAGGTAACAAAATCACACCAAAAGGAGGTTTGAAGAATGCGGAAGTGTGAAAACTGAGATCTGAGTATAATTAAGGGACTCTAGTTAGGATTTCTTCTGATCATGCTAACTTCTATGGGTTCGAATTGTAAACATCTTACCATTGTAATACCGTCCGGGAATTTTTTTAAACAATTTTAGGACGAGGCAAGATTTTCTAAGGCTTAGGAATTACGAGTAATAGTTCTGCAATATATGATGTGAATTGAAGGATTAAAGCGCTAACTTTGTCTGTTGCTGTACCGCGCGTGATACGTTGAGTGTAAATATCTATGGCACAAAAGATTTTTCAGTCCTTCCGTAGGATTCCAGGACATTTCCCTGCTTTTCGTAAAAAAGAGGAGCTTTGTGATGTACAGGGGTCAAGATATAGGGTTGCTGTCGTAAGGAGAGCTTTTTATTTATAATATTTTTAGTGTTCTGATTATGGATTTCCTTCTAAACCTACGTCAGTTGCTTATGACCCTGTTATCGATATGTTAGCTGTTCTTACACGTGATGGCAACATTTATATGTATCCTTTTAGATACACTGACTATTTTATTGCCTTTTAAGTCATAATCGAGTCCTTTCACTGTTGTGGTTCACTAATCTGATATATCAAATACTCAGATATTTGCCAGCCTGTTTTTTAGTGTTTTGTCCACCGGATTCTTTGTGTTGGATTGTTCTTAGTCCGAAAGTATTGAAGATATGCGAATAAGATTGTGCCTTCCAAAGCAGTAGGTTTACAGGTACGAGTAGTCTTATGTATTTTGGGTTCTGTCGAAGACTTCAAGTCCATTTTATGGTCGTGTATCATACATTTCACTTCTTTGCACTCTATAACTTATGCAGGCTGTTTTTAAAGTTGTCCTTGTAACTGATGAACCCATCATTTTCGGTTGGTTTTCGTCGAAACGATATTCAATGACTTATTTTAGTAGTACCTGCAAAATGCTTATGGTGTGTTATTAAGGTTCATCACGAGTGTTCGAAATACATGTCCTAAAATTTTCAAATCTCATTTCTTTAGATTAACGAGAAAGTAAGTAACACGTAGACAAGTTTTATTTGTGATGTCATTAAGTATTAATTCTCACTTGAAGAGTCGAGTTCTTAGATCCTTAAATCCTTGTCTAAATACAATTCCTTAACGCTCTAAAAGATACGGGAAACCAGGAATATCTTTTTCCGCTGTACATGAAACGAATGCTCAGTATATTCAAGTGGTTTTTTTGACTGGCAGTGTAAGTAGTTTATATTATATATAACTGTTTTAGAGAAAACTGGTTACATTAACTGATTCAGATGATATGTATTTATGGGAGTTGACTTCAGTCAATCAAACATCTAGTCAACTGACTCAACGATCATGTCTCAAAAGGATTACAAGTCAGCTAAAGTCTTTACCAAGTGGAGTTCCAAATTCTTCCAACAATAACGAGGAAACTAGTCACGTCACTGCTTTATGCCATGCTTCCGACGGTCGTAGCATCCTGATTGGAACTGATAATGGCTGGGTTGCCTCTGTCCGTTTAAATACAAATACAGCTACTGACGATTTCACGAAATTCTGGTGTCTGCCTTCAGCTGATGATGCAATTAATCCTTCTCGAATACTTGATGGGTAAGATTTGACTGGTTTTTGACCTTTTCTCTTTTCGGTAACCCATATCAGGAAACTATTATTTATGGAGCGAAGGCTTTTGGCCTTATTAGTTCTGGTCTGTATATCTTTTTTCATGTAGTTCGTTTTTCAGACATAGACTGAAAATTTTAGCCAGTTTAAATATCTGCAAAGTAAATCACACTCATCCAGTTAAGTTAAAAATGGCCATGTTTGGATTGTTCATTTATCTCAGAAACAAAAGATAAACTCCTAGCTCATAATACTGGAGTTCCGGTATCTGCTATCCTATTTTATATGATGTTTGAACCCTCGCATAATAATTAGAGCATTACATTACAGTTGGTTCTAGAGTACGAAACAATGTAAGTAGTCAGGGTGACTGTTTTGTCAGGACGTATTAAATGTAGGAAAGACAAAAGCAAAGACAGCCCCTTCTGCGCAAACGAGATTTACGTCCCAAAAACCTATGGGATCTGGTGGTTCTTTTGTAGATACTGAAGAAGTGGATAAGTGTTTTGTGTAACCCCAAAGACCAACGAACATTTTTTATGGCCTCTTACACATGTCAATAAGTTTGCTCAGTTCTTTAAAGGGGCTCGCAGAAATACAAATCCTTAAAACAAGATAAAGTACAATAAGTTGTTGTGCTCAAGCTCTTAAAAAATAAAACAATTCTATCAAATTTACAAACCAGTTATTGGTTTCTAAATTCGTATAACTTTTCGGAGCAGAATGACTATTCTTTTGGAGCATTAAAATAAAGTACACTCACAAACCATTTTTTTCAAAAGGACCTGATGATTTTACCCGGTAAATAAATAAATTCAACTCGTCAATCAAGTGTGGCTATTCACATATGCATAAAGATTGGCCTACATATTTTGAGCTAATCCATAACAGCATCTTTTTAGGTGTGATGATATTTTGCATTAAGTATGTTCTACTGTTGTTGGCTCTACGTTTGATGTCAAACTTTCAAAATCATTTCAAAATGTGCATATAAATGCTGTCGTTTGTTGTTCGGAAGTTTCTTATGTTACTGAGTATCATTTAGTGTATAAGTTTTGACTTAGACCTAATACATTTAGTCGTTGTGGTTCTTTTAGCAGTTATCGGCGTTTTTAATGATAGTTAATGACGACATTTCATGTAATCAGTTGGGTTTCCCTTATTTCCACTTTCCAGCATTTCACCTGATCGTCGTCAGCGTCTGCGGGCAGATGCAGTGGTAGTTTTATCAGAAAGGCCAGGGTTTCCTGGACAGCTATTAATTGGCTACAATTCTGGTCTAAGTTTATTATTTGATCTCCGTTCGGATCGTGTTATGGCACTATTACCGTGGCAACATGGCTTGGAAGCTGCCGCTTGGTGCGGTGGTAGTGGCCAACCAAATAGGTCAAATCCAACACCACATCAACCCCAATTAGGGATGCGTCTCTTGACCGCGCATTCGGACGGATCTCTGGGAGTTTGGAGTTTGAAGGAAATCGGCTTCGGCACAACAACAATATCTCCCATTCAACCACCCTTGCTTCAAATGGAAGAGGCTCCAAGCATGCCTTATGGTAAGTTGACTAAGTTCTAATGACTTCTCGTTTAATTTCCCATATATTCAGTTTTATCATTTAATAAACTCAGTAATACTCACTAATTTTGCCCCTCTTTTTGTTGAGAGATATTTAATTTGATTATCCATATCCTCCACATTCATGTTGTGTCATGTCATTTGCAATGTAAAATCTGACGTATGTGCGTCGGTTCAAGTTGTTACACCGCACTAGCACCATGTGATAACATTATCAAGACGAATCCCGAATGCTATAAGTGGTAATGATAGCAGTCGTAATAGAAAACATGTGTAGAGAAGGGGACGAAGAGATGTAGGGAGAGTTTGGGATTCAGGGCCCCCAAATGCCCTGGTATAGCCGAGAGTGGGGAGAGTCCGCTCTCCCTCTCGAAATGCTCTCACATGGCTACGTGTATATAGCCTCTGCCAGGAAAGTCCTATTCACTGCCTTCTCGTGGCGGGGGTGTTGTTTACAAAATTGAGAGGACGAAAAGCGAATATCTGGCGCTTTAACCGGGTTGGTGGACACGGCGAGTCCACCTAGGGGAGTTGGAAAATTCTCATTCCAAACCAATGGTGCACATGGGCTCCAGTATCCTGAAGGAACAAATGGCGTATGAACCTGTTTTTGGTCACCGGCTATCATGGGACTGCATCTCCTTATGATGCTCTACTGCCTTGTGGACTAGACCTTCGGGTCAAAGGCTCGAGGTGTGGCCCCCTAAGAAAACCACCTGCCTCAGTCTGGGCACCTGAGCAGTATCACATCCCTCACACAAACCAAACGAGATTTGTGAGGCGCATATTTATCTGGTGCTTGCTTGTACCAATATTTATGTGTTTAAATAAATGAATAAATAAATAAAATAAAACTCCTACGCCTGACAACATCGCGTTTTGAAGTAGGTGGTGGTTGGGTATATGTATCAAATGTCCCAACCTTTTTAGTCGGTGGATATACACTACCTCATCAATCGATTTACTATTTTTGCTTAGTACACTGCGTTTAACCTCGTTATCGCCTACTCACCAGTCCCAAAATACACGAGCAATGCTTCGAGAAAACATACCGTCGAATACTAGTGACCTACAAATATCCTCTCTTCCTAATGGCCATGTTTCACTGATATAAAGTAGAACAAAGAAAAGTTCCAGACAGTAAAGTCCACATTACCATTCTTCTCGTCACAATACTTTTTAGAGGATATTTATTCATCAGGACAATCGTTGTTTTCCCGCGACGACCAACGTGTTCTTCGTTTTGATTTCAGACAGTTAGGTCTTAATCATTAGTTTTCTGTGGTTAAATGCATAGGTCTCATCGATTTCCCTTGTTTTTCTGTTATTACTGTCTCCAGATGGAAGCTTAATAAAGCCATAACTTTTGTAATGTAGACATTCATCTATCAGTCGTAGTATAATTTTTAAAATCCTGTCTAATTTGAACTAAACATCCAAATAATATTGACTGTTTTACATAACATCTTGCGACCGATTAACAGATTTGAAAATAATGTCTGGAGTATGAGTTTTCTTGATCTAACGCTAAAGCTTAGAAAGTATATTTCTTGGGCTTTGGTATGTCGAATTATGACTTCTTATTTGTAACATTGAAATAATTTACTTTTTTTGTTAGGACCTTTCCCGTGCAAACTGATCAGTAAAGTTTTCTGGCTTCCATCTGCTCTGTAAGTTATCCTTTAATTTTTACAAGCTAGATTTTATCCCTTGAAAAAATTCAATGTGATACAGAATGTTGTAAGCAGTTAGCGTTGAAAATGTCATTGTTCACTAAGCGTTACTCTTCCAATAACTCTGTTCTCTGTCTGTATTTCAGACTCATTATCTTTGTTTATAAACGTCATATAGATTGATGTGTAGTTTACTATATCGTTCAACATTCAATGTAATGTTAGTTTTGATAATGGAATAATAATTGAGAACAGAAGTTGGTATAACCTCTGAAAGAAAGGCTATAATAAGTTACTTTAAAATTATGATGTAATTTGAGTTTTTCATGGATAATAAACTTATTTTTGTACTATCTTTATAGGCATAATGATTTGATTAGGTTTAGTTGTCGTAATGTTCCATGAGAACACATGTTATTTATTCATCTTATCCATTATTTTGTTTATTCTCAACAGGGGGGGAATTACCGTATTTGTTGGTGGGATGCCACGTGCCACTTATGGTGAGCGTCATACTGTAAGCATATTGCGTGGATCAAATATTGATCAAGCTGCTAATGCTAGTGTTGTGGCTGCCCGACTTGCTGTGGCAGCTGAAGCTGAAGATGATGATGAAATACCAGAAGAAAGTTCATTATCAGCTCCTCCTATACACGTTTTTGATTCTGATGCACCTGAACATGTATGTTTGGACTTACCATCAAGTCTTGTTGATTTAGTTCCTGTTGGTTCTGTTGACGGACCTGTTCAAATACTAGTACTTCTATGTGAAGAAGAAATGGTTGTGATTGATCTTATAACTTCTGGCTGGCCTTTTATGCGTCCTCCCTATTTAACTTGCTTGCACACAACATCCCTTACTACATACAATTTAATTACACAGGTAAGCTATATAGAATTCCACTTATTTATTTGGTAGCAATATGTTTGGTTGAAATGGTTCAAATAACCTTTGAAAATGTATATGCAGTGTAATTCGAACTCGTTTGCTCTTTTAGTGTATAGTTGTGACTTGCATTTAATTTGTTACCCTATCCAACTGATAATAGGAAAATAATTCCCTCTGACTTTATTATCAATTTCAACTACTTAGCCGATAATGAAAGTAATATTTTCTTGATAAAGAGCACTAAATAATAATAGCTCCAGCTTAATCACAATAATATACAGTTCAAGGTGTAATTTAAAATTGATTAACTTCAATTTTCTGCCTAGTCTTTTTATACCCTTCGTTGATTTAGACAATGGGACAGTTATCTGTAATAGATAAAATCTATTCAAATAAATGACATTTGTCTCTGAGTCAAGTTCTATCAAGAATTTATGGGATTGAATGTATACTTTACTGATTTTGTTTCTGTTTTTTCTCCCCTGGTTTATTGATATTCAATAGCATATATATATTCGGATAGTATAAACATTGACTAAATAACTGACACGTTATGTGCCATGTATGTGCTCGTAATATCAACAAGAAATATTTTTGAGCTACGATATTGAGTTTTTTCTTCATTATTTCATGTTTCATTTGTCACATTTGATCGGTTGTATCAGTCTTCCCATGTTTCGTACATTAGTCATGGTCATTGTAATTTTGTGGTTTACTTTCTTCTCACACATCTATTGTAATCATAGATTGTTATTGGTTTTATAAATACTACTTACATACCCTCACTGAGGTGCTTATTCCTAGTTCCGATGAAAACTCGAGATTTTCATTGAAATTTTTGTTTAAAAACTTTCGTTGATTTTATCTGACTATACTGATGGGGACTGTGATAATTATAATTGATACATATGTTTGTTCAGATGTATAAACATCGTCAACATAGAGCTGGGCACTGATTTGAGTTGGCCAAAGTTCCCATGCTTCATTAGCACGAAAAAATAAAAATAACAAAGAAGATCGAAATAATGTATTATCAGTAACAAAAAGAAAGAAGAGACTTTGGGAAAATCATTTGAAAGAACAGTAAAAAGGTGCGCATGAGGGGGTACTGAAATCCTAGACTATGAGGAAGAGTGAATCCACCTGCGCTATCGTGAACCCTTCTGAACCATGTCACCAAACGTCTCTAACCACTGATTACAGTTTTCACGAAGACCCCAACCAAATAATCTGAATCTACTAACATAGCTTAAACCGACAGTTAGTGACTTCATGGACTGATCCAACGTTTTAGGTTGGCTGCCCCTACCTTTCATCCAAACTACTTATGAACTAGCAACGACCATTTGTCAAGGTAGGCTGTGGTTAAGTACACCTATTTCCCCTCTCGCACACGTACCCTTTGCCTAACCTTCACATTCCTCACTCAGTCATTACAAGAAACGTGGGCAACGCTCTGAAAACGCCTATTATCAAAAACCTTTAACCTACCCATCTCTTTTACCTTCATAGACCACGTCTTCCAGTCATAAAGTTGAGTGAACTGTACGTCCTGTATGGTTTATCTCTGATAACATACGATTTGTACGACATTCTACATTTTAATTATCCCTCTGTCCACAAGTAGATATAAATGATATTTTACTCGGTATAATTATGCATCCGTTGAAGTTGTCACACTAGAATAGGGTAGCGATGTAAGCTGGAAAAGAGGCACGCCACTCACAAAAATTTATAATATCGTAGAAAGATAGCATTTTATGACCTGCAGTTAATAGTATAAATATAGGATTTCCAAAATTATTAATATTATTTGGTGACAGGTTTGAAAAGTCCAATTACGGAAGGTGTAAAAATTGTTCATTAATGGAAGGATGGGCTTGTATATGTTTAAACTAGAGTCGATTTAATTTTATTCCTCGGAATCGAGCACTATCTTAAATGACTTATAGTTTTTATTCCACAAATCCATTCTTTCTTTTGGAATCATATATCGCATCCCTGATCTTATCTACGACTACTGATACTAATATTATTCCTATTGCCTTGCCATTTTGTCTTGATAATTTCATCTTGTTGTAGTATGGAAACTTCATCTGGGGAACACATATCTCCCGGTCTCTATTTTCCTCGAAACTGACTGGAACTAAAGATGTTGTAAGCTGGTCATTTACACTACTTAATTACCTGGAAATTAATCAAAATGATCATTTCTGTTGTGGTAAGACCCTGTTAGATCGATTAATAATAATCTTAATATAGGGTAAATGCCATTTCAAAAAGCTGTTGATGTCAGAAAAGTGGCGAAAAACCAATGCACACCTATCTATGTGTCTGTCTATTGTAATGGATGTTTATCATTAATATCAACGTAAACTGGAGGTATTTTCTGTAAAGCAGTTTTCTAATGTTATTATCTGTGTACAATATCCTGGCATAAAAATCTTTACTTACAGACTTCTCTGCTTTACTGAACATTGATTACAGCTGTCAATAAACTACCACTTTAGTGTACATACAGAGGGACAAATAATTCAATGTAAGACATTCAGTGTTTTTATTTATATAAAGTATGTCTATATAAAATCACAAAAAAATGTGATAAATTTTCTTCCCCAGTAAACTTTGCTAATTAAATTTAATATCTATACTCCTGTACATTGTAATCATTTTATCCTACAAAATAGGTTAGCTCAACCTTGCTATCAAATCTTGAAGCTGCCGGTGCTTACTATGGTCCTGAAGGACGTTTTGGTCGGGGAGGAGCAATCGCAGATAATCCATCAGGTGGGGGTTGGTCCTCTCTCCCTTGGCCAATACAAGGTGGTCATGCATTAATTAATGGATCTCGGTTGTCTACAAGCTCTTTGGGTGGAAATATTCTGTACACGGATGATTTACTTCTTACTGGTCACGAGGACGGTTCTGTTGCATTTTGGCGGCTCAGTGCAGGAGGCTGCCTTCGACGCATTTATACCTTATATACAGCTATATTATTTGAAGATGTCAGTCAGTTGGTAAGTTGTTAGATGGTCATTTGTTATCTTTGCGAACATTCGCCAAGATTTGAACTTACAATTCCACAGAAATTTGGCACCGAGTGTGTAGAAACATCAGATATCAATTTATATTTATAAAGCCTCAGTGGCTAAAATTTTGATCTTTCCAACTTTTCACACTTTATTTTTATTTACAAACATTTTTTGGGTTTGTATGTGTAAATTTGTCTATAGTTTTAGGTCTTGTATTCCATAGGCGCATAATACCTGGTAAAGTGTATGAACCAGTTGTTTTTTTACTCGATTCACTTACTGAAATTACAAACAATAAATAGAAAAAACTGGTTTACGTGAACCATATATACAATAGTTTCTTTCTAGAGTCTCACAATAATAAATTCATTGTGTTTAAAACACATCTTGATTCCCAGTAATTATGCGTCCTATGTTCTCGACCAATCAGTCAATAATGAATCTGCATTACATGATGACAAAATGTTTGTCCAGTCCTATAGATAAAAGTGTTGAGACACTGTTAGAAGTATCGAACTAGTATCATCTTTCCAGCTTTCGTTGAGGAATATTACCTGCGTATCGTAATCTGAAGTCGATATCTTCAAGTTAAGAAAGGTGTGTTTTTATTTTGTGTGCAAAATAACGTAAAATGATTGGGCGATGTTGCAGTGGTTAGAAACGATTGTTTATGAACCAATATATTTCAGGCCTGAACTCCACCGCACTTGCCTTGTTTCAAGAAACCGAGTGGTGTCACTAGTCTTGATACAAATGATGTAGCTCAAGGATAAATACACAAACCTATACTTGATAAGTGATTTGGACTAATAAAAAAATAAATTCTATCGAGTTTTTCGCCTTCATTTGTCTCTCAAAGTTAGTTTATTTCATTCTGTGTTGCTTATTCGATTCTCAGACTCCCTACAATTCTTGCTTCAAATACTGTTCACTTTAAGCACTATTTTCAATTGGTCACTATACCTACATTAAGTATCAAAAGCCAATTATTTCAGTAATATTAAAGGACCTTTTCCGTCTCTCTTACATGAATGATAATTCCCTTCAAAATTCTTATTAGGATGATGGAGTATTAAGTGATCTGGATTTATCCTCCTAAAATACTTCAGTTGGTTTGACTACCTTTACAAAAACACAGCCATTTATTTGTACGACATTTAGAACAAATCTGTTATCATCAGTTGTCGTCAAATATCATATGATTTTGCGCACCGCTTTATCTTTTGAAGTAATCTTTACAATTTGTCTATTTACTTCAGGATCATCCTAATGGTGTTGATGATGATGGCGATGCATGGCCCCCCTTTCGTCAGGCAGGTGTATTTGACCCTTTCATGGACGATAGCAGAGTAGCTATACAATTCATTTATCTTGTTGATAATACACTGGTTGTGGGTGGAGCTGCAGGTCAGGTAAGATACATATTTCATCATTTATCACCATTCTTATGCCATAAGGTTTGTTCACTTATCTTATATACAAATTTAAATACAAAATAATACCAGTTAATGAAAATAAAACGACTGTCGCTTTTTCACTTTACAAGATTATCAACTTTAAATATATTTAGCTGTATAAATATGTGAAAATATTTTGATAAGAGTTTGTGATATTGGAAAACTGCGAGTACATTCTTGCAATTGGGTTTCTGTTTCACACACTGGTATTTTACGGTTTTTGAATGTCTGATTACTTTCTTTTACCACGTGACAAGTAAAATGGTTTCTGTTCAATTAATTGTACAAATTAATAGGTAAAATTGTTATACAGTTTGAAAGATACTAATTAACTATCTGTGATAAGTTTTATTGACTGACTTTACCCATGACAAGACCTCGTACCTCAGCTCGTGCAACACTTGAATGTAATGTGAATATTGTTGATTTGAATGTATCCATATTTTAGGTTCCTCTTTAGTTATATCGTTTGTCTCCGTATCCATCCTGAATATTGTTTATTACTAGTGATATTCAATAGTAAATTTCTCCATACAGAAATCAGTGATAAGATTTTCATTGAAATCCGTAAACAATCTTTTATATAAATTCATTTAGTATTGTTTGTTTGAATCTTCCCATCGACGTGTTAGGACTGCAACTGGTCAGTCTCTAATTGGCATATGTGCATACTGTGTGTATGGCCTCGATATAGCCTTAATTCACAAGCATGGTAAACAAAGATGGATAGTAGCTAGCAGTGAAATCCAGGACGCGCGTTTCGTCCTATTTGGGACTCGTCAGCCGGGTGTACCTGCATATGAGAGTTGATGTTTACTCTGGGACTCGAACCCAGTACCTTTCGCTTCAAACGCCATCGCGTTATCCACTCGGCCACTGAGTCCTGATAGCCACTTGCTTGTGCGATGGGGTGAAGTTTAAATTCATTTAGTATTGTTTGTTTGAATCTTCCCATCGATGTGTTAGGACTGCAACTGGTCAGTCTCTAATTGGCATATGTGCATACTGTGTGTATGACCTCGATATAGCCTTAATTCACAAGCATGGTGTTATTAGACAAGATATTATAGGATTATTTGTAATTTGAACTGATTAGTTCTGTGTGTAGTGAATCAAGTAATCTGTGTGAAAAATTCACTAGGTTATATTAAATATCATTATGAATGACAAGTGTTCTTTGTGATTGAAATCTAGATAACTTTGTCATATAGCAATATTTTCTGCAAAAATGTAATATGTTTTCAAACTATGTGTAAATGTAGTGACTGAAATAATCTTGTTTCGATAGAGTAATTCGTTAGTTTTGTATTTTTCCATGTGAAAAAGATTTAACTCATAATTAGTTAAAACTGACTAATGGAAATCCGTGGATATCTTTTCATTTATTAAATGAACTACATTAGTAACTAGGATTACAGCAGCTGCAAAAAGAAGTTTTCACCTTGGTTAACTTCAAATTCCTATACTTTCGTTTTTCTGCTTTTTTGGCTCCGACCTCTATTCTTTTTTTCTATGTGGTAAGTTTCTTTATGGGTTGCTGTCATGATAGAGCATAAATTCTCGTTGCTATAATGTAGTGTTTTTTTGCCCATGCTTCACAATATTATTAGAGGTTTTAATTAATGATAAAAAGCACATGGAAGTAGTGTAAATATATCTTCCTCTCATTGATATCATTAATTGCTGTAGTTATTCTCACTCCACCTGTCTTTAATTGTATCTATTCTGCAACTAAATATTCTTATCTGAAGGAGTCTGAAAAATATTACCTTCTTAGTATTTTACCAGTGCAATTACTAATCTATTTTACTACTTCACACAGTCGAATTTTCTTCGTAGTTTCTAAATTTCGTTTGGACCCTCATTCAAAGTCTCCTAAAACCTAAAATCTTCATTTGTACTTAGTTATTAAACTTCCCAAAGAAAATAAAACTCACTCCAATTGTATGGCATAGATTAAGTTGCTTTGAGTTGCTCAACTACCTTCTTTATTTTCTTATTTACATAAATTTTTCAGTCACTGTTTAGCAGGACTATATAATCATTACATGCTTTCCTATATTATTGCTTCTTATTATTTTAAGCTCGTAAACGCTTTTTATCTATGAATAAAGTAAGACCTATCAAGAAGTGATGAAGAGATTTGATCATGAACTAAAATATGTCTAATGTTGTTAGAGGTATGAAGACTGTTGTCATTCCCTGGTTTCCCACACCGTGGAATGATATTTTTTCTCCTAATCATGGGAAGGCGACATCGTTGAAGATGCTGGCTGCCCACTGGAAGCACTTTACTTCTGTCTCATCTCAATAGAGTTATCAGTATGACTTTTCTCTCGGACCATGAGCTTGCTGCATTTAGTCTTACCGTTTTCCAACAGACCTGCTTGACACAGTATGACATAGTTCACAATCTTTAGCAATGGGACAGGTACATTCACTCTTTGTCTTCCTTTCGTTCATAAGTTTTTTAATTGCTCATCATTTTTCTGTATTATTTCACCAATTTATATTTTCTTCTCGAGTCATATGTTCGATGTCCAATCTTCTCTGTTACCAGTAGTGATGTTACTACATCTACTACTCTGGGACTTTTTTGAGGATCTCGTCTCTCTGTGCTGATGGGGTGTGACAAATTAAACTGATGTATACACGTGCCAGGTTGTACATTGCGTTTGACTGACCGGTAGCATCTTATCAAGTTTATTTGTATATAAATGAAAAAAAGCGAATGGTACCTTTTTTTCGGCCATTGATCAATTTAATAATTTGTAGATTACGTGTAACTGATTAGAACTGTGTTTCATATCCAATAAATGACTAGCTTAACAACTTCACACAAGTCTTATGACGTTAAAGTGAAAACAAATCAATGAAAAACTATTAACCAATTCTTTATCTTCCTGAATATTCGTTGTACTGTTTATATGGTAAAAAGTATATAACTTTGTTTTCATCAGTTATAATCTTTTATATTTGTGTGCTTTAAACTGTTTGTTAAACTCTCATGTATAATAACTCATATGTCAATGATCAGTGTTTGATGTTGTGAAATTCTAGCTATCCATTTTATTGATCAATTTTTTTTTTTATTATTTATCTTACAAAACTGCTAAACATATAAGCCTTGTACATATTCATTTTATTACACAATTTCCCACGTATTCGTACATTTCCTGTATCACAAACGTAGAGAAGTGAATTCTTTTTGATAAAATCATTTTGTTATAGTATTTTGTTTTTTTTATTTCATGGATATATAATAATGTATATATCTATTATTTCAGCGACGTATTGACGATGTTTTACATCGTAAACCTTGTCTGTTAGTATTCATTTTCTCTTTATTTTACGTTTGAAGTATCATGAAACAACAGAATATTTACAGCTTAGTGTAAACTTACATTCTTGTAATTTTTTCCATCTATAAGTCCCTATATTCACAGTATTTGCATAGTGTTTTTTTGTCAACTATTCTATTATGCAAATTTTTTTATCCTAAAGTCACTTAGAAAAATCATGATACATATATATATATATCTTTAATGAGACGACAGATTTCCAATTCAAATCTATTTATAAGCACTAATAAACATTTCCTGATAAAGATGCATCTCAATTTGTTATCAGTACTATCTCTATGGTCTATTATATCTTCCTGTACGCGTTGTTAAAAATTAGGTATACTGTCTTGTTATAATATGAATTCATTCAAAGCTTAGTTTTACAGATTATTGGTTAGCAGTTTATGTGACTACAAGATGTTTATAAATTTTTTTTACCATATCCTTAGTTTGTATATTCACATGAAAGTAACTATGGAGTCTTCGTCATCGGTACAGTCTTACTAATAATTCAATGATTGTTTTAATAGGATCATTTTAAAGGTCCAGTAATTGTCTAGATTAGTTGTTGATAGTAGTCATAATTTTGAAGTAAGTTTGGTTGTAATTCTTATGGATATACCTGTAAAACGGAGTGGGACAAACCAAAATGTAACATAAGTCCCTGAAGTTATACAGTGTTGGACTGAACCATATATGTTGTAATCAGTGTTTTGAGACACTAAATGACGTGCCTCACAATCGGTCTTGATGGCATAGATGCATTAACTCTTTTTTCTCCTCTCAGATCCTGAGTTTTGAAATGATCTTATGCTTTTTTATTCTTTCTGTACTTAGTCTTTTCTATCAATATTAACACTTAATATTTATACTACTCTAATATTTTTTTGATTATCCCAACCTGTGCTGATACGATGTGAAAACGATTATCTAAGTACACATTTCCCAAATTCTACATTGCTTATGACTGACTGACTGATTTGTTAAATAACTAAAGTTTTCATTTATAGACTACTTGAGTAGTATAAAATGTGTTTACCTATTTTGAATGAGGTATACTTGTATTCAAGTTGATCCTTTACTTCATAGTATTGGTAGGATCGTTGAATGAGTACACTGGATTATGGTATTGAGCAACGGACTTTTGGATTATTATTGACAGTTAATAAAGATTTTTGTAACATTTCAAGTAGTTCTTGTTAATGAGTACAGGGGTTATTTTATATTTTATTCAAACACATAAACATTGGTACAAGGAGGCACCACATATATGTGTGTCACACTTCGTCACTCGCGTTATGTGAGGGCTTTGATACTGCCTTGGTGTCCAAATCAAAACAGGTAGTTTTCTTTGGGGGGGGGCACTCCCTAAACCTTTAACCTAGAGGTCTAATCCATAAGGCAGTGTAGCAACGTCAGAAGATGTAGTTCAACGGTAGCCGGTGACCAACAATAGGTTCAAACGCCATTTGTTCCCTCACGATTTCGGAACCCATTTGCACCAATGGTTTGTAATCAGCGTTTTCCAACTCCTCTAGGTGTATCCTGAATATCCGTCGACCCCGTTGAAGCACTGGACATTCAATTTTTGTCCTCTGAATTCCGTAAATAACACTCTGTCCGCGAGAAAGCAGTGAATAGGACTTCCCTGGTAGTGTCTGTATACCCGTTGCCATGTAAGAGCATTTCTAGAGGGGAAGCTGGCTCTCCCCGCCGTCGACCGTACCAGAGCCTTTGGGGGAACATGAAACCTGTGTAAAATTCTAAGATTGATATTGATCTCTGAAAGATATTAATGAAAAATAACTTTTAATCGTTTGCTATATTGATAGTCAGTTAGCTGTACATAAGAAAGCAAATGATAGTTCTTTGGATTTCTTACTAAAATTAAGTATTATGAGTAAGAAAACTAAGTATGATCCCATTAATATCTCGGCTAAATTGCTGCATAATTTCCAGTTAGTAAATGTATTATTATTTGTATCAGTCGTTTTCTCAAACTTTTAGGCCATCATTTTTCTAAATAATCATTTATCATCAGTATAGGGTTGTGAAGAATGTTGATTTTTAATTGAAATCATGAACCGACCAATGTTAGACCAGCATTGAAGACTTGGAAGAACTCAACAGTCTTTTCGTCCTAGTATGGGGCTTCTCGGTACTGCTGAGGAGTTAATGCTTATAAAACGGGAATTTCGTTCCATTTTTTAAAATAGTATTTTGTATTGAGACATATGGTACCGAATAAAGCGAGTAAAAAACTATTCTTATTACCAGTATTACTACTATTATTATCACCATTATTATTGGTTATTCAACTCCACTCAATGAATCATCAAAAATCAAATTAATTTATATAAGTATGTAGAGTGTATTTTCATTTTAAACTTGAATAAATTGTGAAACACTTCTTTTTTCTACTAAAATCACTTGTATGAAATTATGTTATGTCATACAAAATAAAAGTGATTCAACCTTAGATATTATTCATACATAATTATAGAAAATAATGCTATTTTTCATACTTTATCGTATATTGAATAATAAATTGAAACAGTTTGTTTTTTAAGCAAAGATGGATAGTGGCTAGCAGTGGAATCCTGGGACTCGTCAGCTGGATGTACCTGCATCTCAGATTTGATGTTGACTCTGGGACTCGAACCCATTACCTTTCACTTCAGACTCCATCGCGTTATCCACTCTGCCACTGAGTCCATGCTTGTGAATTCAGGCTATATCGAGGCAATACGCACAGTATGCACATATGTCAATTAGAGACTGACCAGTTGCAGTCCAAAAACATCAATGGGAAGATTCAAACAAACATTACTAAATGAGTTTAGTTTGTTTTTTAATTCCTTCGCTTTGTTTTAACTCATATAATTGTAAATCTAACCATCGAAAATTGATTCATTTTAAAATATACACAAATAAATGTTGTAGCTAATCAGAAATTATTAAAGTCCGTTGGACATATGGGTGAATAATTGGTTGTTTTTTTTGGTAATTATTTATTTTACTTCTCATTTCATTATAAAATGAATGTGATTAGTAATGTAAACGACTGAATGTATGTATTTGTTTTAACACTTTACTTTTTTTCATTCTTTCAGGTAATTGTATATCAATTTCTTAATTTCACTCCGTGTATTGAACCTGCAATTGTAACAATTAAAAAATCAATGCCTGGATTTCAATGGAAAGGACATGCTCCCCTTACAGTAAATAGTCTATGTTTTTTCATTGCCAGTAAATATTTATAATTTCAATTTATGTTAAATCAGTTGTGAAAAATGAGCAACCTAATAAATCTATTCAGTGTTGTCCAAGTTACCTTATTTTGATTATATCTTCATTAACTCGTGTTATCTGGATTATGTTTTTTTTGTCAGTCTTATTCACTAATAACCTATTATCGGCCTAAATTTGGTAGTTAAATATGAAAGGAATAGTAAGTTTATATGCTTTCTAGTACACCTATAAGTTATTTTTGTGGGACAAATATACGTATTTAAAAGTACTATGGGCATTTTTTTGAAAGTTTTTTTGCAGAACAACTAAAAAATAAATCATCAGTCTAGATGGTTATCACTCTTGTATGAGAGTTTTATTCAATTTTCTGTTCTATTGGTTCTCTTCTGTTCACGTGTTGTAAGAAACTCCTGTTTAGTTCACCACAGGTACTTATTTCACAGCGTTATTTATTGTAAGTTGCTATTGTTAAGTTTGCGAAGAGCAAAAAATATAAGGAGACTAAAAGTATTTAGTTAAAAACAGTCTTGAAGTATCACATGAACTTAATGAAACAGGTTTTGTGAACATACTCTACAAGGCAATTTGTGATTCTCATCGAGTAGATAATATGAAATGACAACATAGTACTCTCGTAAGTTTTACATTCAATCATTAGTTTCCGTTTACCATTTTACAAGCATCAAGAGATATCTAATTTTTTATACAGTTCGAACACGAACGGTGAGATAAAGCCAAAATATCCCTAACTAAACAATCTTGAACTCACCTGTTAATTATTTAATACTTGAGGTTGGTTCATTCCTTAATATTCGTTCTTATTTGTTTGCTTAAACACCGAAACATAATTTTAGAGTTGTAAGTTTAGCAGTATTTTGGAATAAAAATATCTTACACTTTGTTTGTCTAGAAAAGATTTCGAATTTTGAACCTTTTATTCTTTTATGCCATTATGTTTTTTTCGCCTAATACAAAGTAGTTTCTTTTACTGTGTTTTTAGCTTCGAAAATGCTTTAGTGAGAAGTTCACTGCTAATCCAGAACAAACTACTCCACTCCCCGCTCAGTTACAAGCTACAGGAGTTATTTTCGTACAGCCTCCTGCACGTATTACATCACTTCTTTTAAGTGAATTTGAATTAACTCATCTAAAAGAATTTAGTCAAAACCAAACAAATAATATTAGTGGTGATGGTGGTAGTTTACAAATTTTACTTGCTCTTGGTACACCACATGGTTTCGGTGTAGTTTTTGTACCGAAACCATTACCTAATAACGATTCAAATACAAAAAAACCATTACCACCTCAGCCATTACTTGCTGTGTCAACAATACCGGATAATATCGATGCTCTTCAAGAAGCTGCTGCCGGTGAAGGCTGGGCAAGGCGACGTACTCGAGAACTTAAAAAAAGTCTTCGTGATTCATTTAGGCGTCTTAAAAGAGTACGATCAACTAAATCAAATTTTCAACCAGTTGTCTCAGCTTCTACTGCTAATGTTAGTCGTGCTGGTATTCGACGTACTGTTACTCAAGTAGGTTCCTCTTTTAACGATTTTAGGTTTATTTATTTGGCTATTTAAAGAAGCAATAAGTTAATCGAACCAAGTAAACTAATAATGACTAATCGGTAGTCATCAGTCCACTCCAAATTATTTCCTGAGTACCATTTGTCGTTTCCATTAAATGAGTTTTTTAATAAATAAGTTTTACGTGAGCTTAAACAAACAAAAATATTCTCTTAAGTGATTAGGAACAGTTTCATATGTTAGACTTCATTGTATTTGTATTGTGGAGTCAGATAAAATGCCGAATTATCAAGTGGTTATAGGTAGTTGACAAGAAATTATAGACTTAAGCTTATTGCCTGTTGACATTCATCAACAATGTATGTTTGCAATCTTTGGGAAAATTGGTGTTCCCTGAAGGATCCAAATGTACGTTACAATCACAGTCAATACCACTGAGTTGTTAAGGCTGCGCTAACATGTACTTCTAGTTTTTTTAACGTTGATTGGTCACTGAATGGTCACCAGTCTCATATTATTTAATCTCTAGTATTGATCAAGGTTTGTCGACCGATTTTCATTCTAGTCACTAGTCTATATAACTTTAAATTGCTAATAACCGAACAGTTTTCAGGCCCTCAACAGTCTATTTTAATGTTAATTTATTTAGACCAGTGACTATATTGCAACTTGGCTGTAACAAAATTGTCTAGTAAATTTAATAATTAGTATACTATTGAATCTCTACCTCAGCCTTGTATTGACGTTTACTGAAACATAACTTAGTGAAAAATAATATGAAGTGAATTTTAAGAGTACTTATTACATCTTCGAACAAAACTTAAGTATGTTGATTTTGCATATCACTTTATATTTCAATATTAATTGATTTAAGATTGTTAAGTTGTAAAATGTGTATTTTCAGCTTATGAACTAAGTTTGTCTATTTTCTCACTAATTTCACGAAGGCTATATCCCTGTATGTGTTTATGAAAAATAATGAAAAGTAAAAGCTATTCACTGTTGTGATGACTTATTATCTTAATTTTTAAATTTAAAGAAATTGATGTAAGTACTTTTGATTGCTGTATATTTCATTATCGACCATGTATACAAGGGATTCCATAGCATATTCTGAACTATGCATATATCTTTTATATTTATATAAGTCTAATCGTGCTGCTCCCAATCAAACTGATGTGGCCCCTCTTGATGAAGCAGAAAGACGCAGTGGACGTGTCCCAGATGAAAATATATTATTAATATCACAGTATAATGTTGAAAGAGAAATATGCGATCGTGTTCAAGATACTGCCAATGTAGCTATTATATCTTGTTTCGCATTTGGTCCACCCCTATTTAAATCAAGTCCATCGAATGTTCGTCCAACATTGCATCCAGTTGCTACACTTTTTATTGGTACTAAAGCTGGGACTGTTAAATTATATTCTATTTTTGTTGACAAAACAACATTAAACTCTAGCGTTCTACCTAAACTTCAACTGTATTATTCCCGAGAACTTATTTTACAACATCGTGCTCCTGTTCTATCACTTCGTCTAATCGATGCTAAGTCAAATATGCCTTACTCATTATCGGGTACGTGTTATTAACGATATTACAATTGTAATATTTACAAATATTTTTCTTTAAGGATAGAAGAAATCATCCCATATATAATATCCTTAGTAATTTTCTAGTTGGTTTTGTAGTTAAAGAAGTTATATTTCTATTATTGTATGCTAAACCGATAATCCTTTAAATATTTTGTATATATGTAACTCTACTTCACACACACGCATATACATACTCCCCAAAGCAGTCATATTTAGTAAGTTAGCTTAACGACTTTAATCGTCTAGTTTGTTGATAGTAGAATTATTAAAATATCAATATCGAACTTTGAGAGTTTTTTCTCTTACAAATTTGTTACCTAAAACTAATAAATTAGTACAGATATTGTGTTCAAATTGTACCGTTTACTAAATTAATCAATACCATAAAATATACACAGTGAGGTGCATAATAAATTTTAAACATATGTATACAGAAATTTAGTAAAAAATTGAAACAAGTAGCGAATTGTATTGAAATGATTCAGTAAACAACATTAAACTTACAATCCAGTTGCATTGAACTGTTGTTTGTCTAAGGTATTGAGAAATAAAACATCTTTTTATAATAAAGAATATCCTTGTAGATTGTCATATATTAAGTAAACTGGTTGAAATCAATTAAAATATTAATCATTTACGAATTTGTGATAAGTTTCACTACTTACATAAGAATATGTGTATTAGTGTTTCGATTAGCTTTACTTACTATTACTATCATTCATATAAGATTGATTATCTAAGAGTGTTGTTTTCACTTTGACTAAATTAAATCATTATTGTCATACTTTGTTCTCCATATTGGTTTTTCTTTAACATATTCTACAAATTGAAGGAATGATGTAACTTAAGATCTAAAGTGTAACAGCCGTTGGTTTAATGGTTAAAAATCATTCAACTTGCAAACCGTATTGGTCACGGGTTCAAGTCTCACCTCGCTTCGTTTTAAAGTCCTCCTCAACTCGTATACGACAACACTTCGACGTTAATAATCCACATGCTCACATGACGTAGAAAAGATGCAAATTTCAGGATAGCTTTGTATTTCTAATAGAAAACAAACCTGAAATGGAACAACTCTTTAGATGGTAACGCCCAATGGTCTTGTGATACATAGTAAAATTACCAAACTAAAACCGACTAGATAATAGCATTATGGTAATATGAATTAGGAAAATGTTATCAAGATTATCCCTTAAACGAATTAACATGGAACAACAAAAATTAGATAACCCGAGCTCTCTTTAATAAGTCGAAACGATCCTATGATTCAGAAGAATTATTGATGTATGCTATAGACTACTACATTCGTAATATATATCATGCTTATCAGTGTTTGATAATTTTATTTTGTTTCCCATTACCCGATATATTATTCTCTTTTTAATATAGATTACAAACATTACATATCTGATTCTGGTAAATCTCATAATCTACCTGTATTATCAGTTGTGAGTGAAGAACAAATACGATTATTTAATTTACCTAATTTACACCTAAAATTCAAAGCTCGTATTACGGCTATTGATGGTTATCGTATCAAATCTGCTTCAGTAGTTGGATTTCGAATACACGGAAAAACCAGTTCATCATTATCAAAAGAATCCACTGGTTAGTAATTAAAAATCACACTTTATTTTGATAATTTCTGTTTTTTTATCACTTACGTTTTAATCCAATTTGAAATGGATTGGATACCCGTTTTACAAGTGAGTGAATCTATACTAACTTGTGTTATAATGGCTATATCAAAGCAATCCCCATATCTCAACCAGGACTGATCACATTTCAGTTAAAATAACAAAAATTGGATTATTCAATCCATTTCCAGTTGAAATAAAACGTATATCTGTTTCATAAGTAAGTGACAATCTGGACTCAGTAGCTAAATGAATAAAACGTCAGCGTTTAAAGCAAACAATGCTGATTTCGAGTCCTGAAGTGAACGCCAACTTGGGTGTAGTTACATCCATCTGACGAGTCCCAAATAGGACGAAACGCGAGTCCTTAATCTCAATACTAGCCACATTCCGTCTATTGTGACGCATATTGTTGTAAGAGTTGCGGTTTATTTATTCATTAGTTTGTTCTTCATCTCCATCTTTACTTTCATAATAGTTGATTCTGCTTGTGGTGATCTTGAACGTTCAAATACAAGTGGTATATCTGTAACATCTCAAACAAATCAAAATTGTGAATATTCATTTGTTTTTACAAACGTTGGTGGTCAAGCTGTCTTGCTTAGTATGCCACAACTTCGTCGAATGGATACTTTACATTTGCTGGATTCTCATGATGTAGTTGCAGTCAGTTCAGTTGTATTTTCTCAACCTGGTTGTACAAATGTAAATAATTCGTGTTATGTTCATGGACCTGCTCTCGGACTTTATCAATTGGCACCTGGTCAAGTATGTATATATTCTGTAAATGGTTATTGGTTTATAGCGCGTGATTTATCATTAAGACACTACCGTCCATGTAATAATCTAAAATTCGCGTTCTGGAGCCGGATTTTGTTTTTACAAAAAAACGTCATGCATGAATGATTTACTTAGTCATAAGTATAACAATAAACCATTTATCCAAACCAGATACTTGTGAATACAGGTATGGCTGTTTGGAAATGTAGAAGTAGTTCTTTTAGACTATGTCTTATCCATTATTTCTAGTCTTACACTTTTACAAGTGCGTTTCTGGAAATTATTTTTTATGAGACTTCACAGAAACGGCAAGACCAATGTTCATGCTTTTTCCCGTATAATGAAGTATAAGATTTTGCACAGTCCAAATATCTAAATATATTATGTAATAAGCTTATAATAATTCTCTTTCCTTTACACTTCACGTCTGTTAATATTAGGAGTTTTGAGAAATATGTAATTAGGCAAGTTCGTTTGTAAGTATTGGTCTTTTTTGTATGATGTTTTCTGAAAAAAAAGCACCAAGATTGAAGCAAAATTAAATCTGTTGAATGTTCACATCTCGAATACTGACCACTATCAATTTATTTTGTGACGAAAGTCAAGTAAAACTCAAGGATGTCAAATAATCTTCATGTCTGCTTTTGTATTTATTATAATCACATAAAGTAATGAATCCCTTTCAACGAAAATCATAAATTTTTGTATGTGTTAAAATGTATGATCAACTCCTATTTTATAGTGACCAAATGTTCTACACATTTATCCAAGTTGTAAATTTAAAAAAATTATATACCATAATAAAATGTCGACCAAATATTTTTCTAATTTATTACTACTATTTAAAGTTGATAAATTAAACTAATAACTTGTTTATTTGTTTATTATAAAAAGCTTACACTTTTTGACGTTGTACGTACTGGACAAAAAGCTAGCTTACTTGGAGTATCCTATCGTCCTATATATCGACTATCTCTTATTGGCAATACAAATGCAAACATGAAAACTTTATCCGAAAAGACAAATAGTATTGGAGATAGTAGAATTTCTAATAGAAGTGTTTTATCGACCAGTCAGTTGCATAATATATCACAGACGTCCAGTGTATTTAGTTCATCCGTACAAAATCAATCAAATTCTATGTCATCACACAATCTAAGTGATTCAATAAGAAATGGTCTCGTTTCACCTTCTTCTGTATCATGTGCAAGTGATAGGAATAATCACAGGTATTTTTAACGTCCTATTGTGAAGTGATTTTACTATTTTTCACCATGAAGCTATTGCTCTATTAAATTCACTTACAGTTACATCCGCCTAGAAAAGTGACAAAGTCAATCTTAAGAATCCATTCTATTTTTACTTACCTTGATTTTCTTTTTTATACTTATATTCATAATTTTTATTTAAGTAATATTAATTAGTTGAATTGATTTTCTAATTTAAAGAGAGTTTTATCATGTATTAAGATCAACTGAAAAACCATTATAAAATACAGGTGACACACAACCAGAAAACATTTGAATTTTATTAGTTTTGAACTCCTGTCAGTACTTACGTATGCGTGAACACATGAAATCGACCTGAAAAAAAGTCCTCAGGTCTTGCAACGAATGTGACATTTTCAGACTATTACATTGATATTCATAACTGTATATTCGCTACTTCAGTTGTTTTACAGTATATAACTTGACCATTCAATAATTTAGTGTATTTATATATGGAAACTTCTGTTTTATTTCACAAGTGATAACCTAATTAGGTTTATAGCAGTTAATAATACATACATATTTCATATTGTGGATAACCGTTAATTATAGTATGCGCTTTATGCAATAATCATTATTCTTGATTAAGGTAAAGAATTCATATCAGCAAAATCACATTATTAACTTTGTATTGCTTGCAAAAAATACCAACATGAATTTAAACTTCACCCCATTGCACAAGCAAGTGGCTATCAGGACTCAGTAGCTAAGTGAATAACGCGATGGCGTTTGAATGATACTAGGTTCGATTAACTGTGATGCAGGTACATCCAATTGACGAGTTCCAGATAGTACGAAACGCGCGCTCTGGATTCCACTGCTAGCCACCATCCATCTTTGCTTAAAAATATATAATATTTTAAGATAGTCTTTTAATATACATCTAACTTGTGACTATTCAAATACCTTAATGAAGGACATTTGTAATAGTCACTCACTGTTAGTCAAATTCACCAGAGAATGTATAGTTTACATGAGTTTATTTTAATTGTACGATATATATGATGCATAAGTTCCAATGTAATCAGTCATTTCTTGTTTCTCCAAAATTATGCACAGAAAGAAAAATCTATTTAGCTTTCATTGCTCTGATTGTTTTTGGATTTTGCAGTGTTTAGTTTCTTAACACATTGTAAACTTTTAGTAAAACTGTATAACTACAATAAATAGTTAAAATTGAATTAAAAACAAGAATTTGGTTTCAATATATGCACAATAAATCAGTTGAAATTTATGAATTGAATATATCTCACGTTTAATACCTACTACAATATTGATCCTATCTAGTGAGTAGTATTGTTCAATCGCATGAGTGTTCAATCATCATAATTCAATCAAGAAATTAATTATATGCTAATGAGTTATTCATTTATTCGCGTAATAATACCTTTGTTTTGTTTATTTTTGTACAGGGATCGTGTATCGTGAATAATATAATTCATTGTTCAGTTTATGCTAATCTCTCACTAACTAAATACTAGATCAGTGCTACAATTTGCCGCAAACATATCATGCTTTTTCTTTCCCTCTCCCTCTTGTCTTATATATATATATATATATATATATATATATATATATATATATATATATATAGGTTTGTCCTTCAAGACAATGTTTTTACCTTTAAATGATCTTCATTTCCCTAGACTAATAATCCTGGTGTATGGTTTAGTCAAAAACTGTCACTGATTAATTCTGTATTTCTTTTACAAGTTTAATATGATTTATCCGTAATAAGTTTTTTTCTAATGTTCTTTGTTTTAGCGTGTACGTTTTTTTACCGTTCAATTTGTGTTTTTTTCCTTATGTTGTTAGTATTATACACATTGCTTTGCTTTATTTTTGTTTTCACTATCTTTATCATGTATAATAAAATGTGGATTAAACAATTTTGATCTCTGTCCATTGTTCAATTTTCAAATCACCCATTTAAAATATTTAAAAAAAAACAAGAAAATATGTACTTGCAAAATATACACGGTAACACTGTGTCTGTTTACATTTGTTGTACTACCCCCTCTCTCTATGCTACAAAGCCTTTGACGCTATATTCAAACATTCAGTTAAATTTCTTATACATAATTTCGTCTTTTGTGTTTACATTTGCTATGACCTTGAAAACTTAACTTTATTGACAAAAAATAATAGGGTAATTGTTTCTAAGCAAACTGTTTTTTTCCAATACTATTTATTTATAATTGTTTGATTTTAATTTATGTCTTTTTCATTTAATAATGATTGGAATACACATTTGATATTTTACTAAGTAATTAATTAATATCGAAATTGTTTCTTTATAGTTTCAGTTATTGTATACATTTTTTTAAACAAAACCCCCCACACACACTGATTATTCATATTTGGCGAATAAAAAATGCTTCATATTTCATACATCATTGTGTATACGTATTTTAATGAGAATTATAGTTTCTTTGCAATTTGATTAGTGTTCTTAGTAACGAGTTATTTTTTAAAATAATAATTATACTGTAAAACACGAAAGTAGACAGAAGGAGTATGTTTGTGTGAAGTTACAAAGTACTTATATAGTACATTATACATTGGCTTCAATCTTCTATTTACATCTTTCGGTGTGTTCTGCTATCTGAACTGCCTTCTCATCTGGTCTCCAAGTGTTCTACAAACATCATGCTTTCAATGCACTGAAACTTCTTACACCGTCTGACAGTTATAACAACTTCAATGTGACGTCCCGCTACACACTACTTACAAAAGATCTTGTCTTTAGCGTCCACTATAATCCTTGTATTCGTAGACACTAGTCTAATGTCGCATTGTCTGATAACATTTATTTTAGTGAAACTGCGAATTAAAAATGCTCATAGAAGTAAACAGTTTATAAGTCGTGAAAACTTAGATTATTTGTTAGTTTCAAACGAATTCGTATAAAAGAGAATGTATACGCGTTTTGTTCGTAATAGTTGGTTCCGACGATTACCATATTTATTGTTATGTTGTAACAGTTTTGTATGATGATAACGTTCAGAAACTAATTATATGTTCAAGGTTTTTTGTTTGTATTATGTTTACTATCACAAGTTCTCTTCATTATTTGTTAGTTGGTAGACGAGAATGGACTCGCCCTCAAATGCCCTGGTACAGTCGAGGGTGAAGTGAGTCCAATCTTCTCAAAAAGCTCTCACATGACCACGCGTATACAGCTACTTACATGGAAGTCCTACTAATTGACTTATCACGGCCGAAGTGTTGTTTACGAAATTGAGAGGACGAAAAGCGAATGTCCGGCACTTTAACCGGGTTGGTGGATATCCAGGACCTACCTAGGGTAGTTGGAAATCTCTGATTTCAGTCCAATGAAGCACATGGACTCCAGGATCCTGAGGCAACAAATGGTGTTTAAACTTATTGTTAGTCATCGGCTACCATGTGACTAAATCTCCTAACGTTGCTCCACTGCCTTTTGGACTAGACCTTTAGGTTAAAGGCTCGTTGAGTAGCTCCTTAAAAAATCCATTAGTTTCGGTTTGGGCGCCTGTGCAGTATCCAAACCCACATACAAAACGAGTAACGAAATGTGGCGCAAATATAAGTAGTGCCCCGTTATACCAATGTTTATGTGTTTAAATACATAAATGAAGCCTGAACTAGATAAATAAAGGCAACATAAATTTAAAAGTTTTGTTTAGTGATAAAACAGCCAAGTAATGCTGACTGATTACTTACATTTTGTATGTAAAAATATCTTTATACAACTTCTCAATACTGTACATTTTTCACTTAAATAACATATATAAATCACATGATGCATTGTTATACATTCGGATTAAGAGTTTGAGTGTGCATAACGATGATAAATCGTTTTAAATAGGACTCAATGTAATTTTTATTCAAATGAAAAAAAACTTTTAGGTTGAGTTCGAGGCAATTCACTTATTCATGATTATTTCTTTAAGTGGTGGAAGTTACCGACTGAAAAAAAATAATATTCTTAAGATATAAATTAACTAAAAGTGTGCTGCCTCCTTATATTTTTGATAAGTTTCAATACCATACATTTATTACTGATTGTTTAAAGAAGCAATAGCTAAATTTTGTGTTACCCCGCACAGGCTTGCTTGAAAATGACGTTTCGATGTGTTTATTCGTAGCAAATTTATTTCTGACTGTTGTATTTATGATCAGAAATGCATTACTGAATAACCTACTCTTGTGATTTTTAGCCCTATATGATAAATTTTGTCAACTTAATGATTTGGAATGAATAAATAATAATAATAGATTTCAGATATGGCAGATGTTTTGGTCGTTTTAACGTTATTCGACAGTTAAGATGGCTTCGTAAATGTAGATATAACTACTTTTTACTTTACTACGAGTGATATCTTACTGCATTGGTGCAGTAAACATATATATATATATATATATATATATATATATATATATATATATATATATATATATATATATATATATAGACCTTAATGAATAAACGAAGTAACATGGAATAGAATGCTTTTACTGTCTCTCGTAAAAGCGGATTCAACAGCGATAAGATTTATACCTTTTGATTTCTTGTTCGATGGACAGGTTGTATTTCTGATTGCAATGGTCGAATGTCTCCTATCGCTAAGCAGAATCCTTAGCGAGATTTTCAAATGTTTATTAAAGCATACGAAACGCCAGTGTAAAAGACTGTAGTGCCTGAAACCAGAATTACAAACTGGAATTTTAAATAACCTCCACTGATTGATAATAGTCTCTAAACTGCTGAGTTCTTAAGATAAAAATTGATTGTGTGGCAACAACAAATAAATCAGCCTAAATAACGTAATTTAGGAAGCACAATAAATGGGCAGCCAGATGTTACTTGGCAAACTGGATATAATCAGACAATTACTGGAACTTATGGAGTGTTCTGGTACTCCGAGCTTTTTATGCGAATACTTGTTACTTCTTGTGATGGCTCAGCTGAAGTATATATATATATATTTGTAGGGACACTGGTTCTAGATCCTACCAACTCAAGTAGGTTGGTTGGAGTACAATAAGATCTGAAGAAGAAACTGTATCCATGGTCGAAGTCGCACTTCTTACTGTAGGCGTATGTGACTGCAGTAAGACTTTTGTTTCAGGCAACCAGCACCTTCTGTGATGTTGACTTCTCATGACAGAAGCAAGAGATTAAAAAAGATTAGCGCTAAAAATCTCACATCTCATGGGTCTTCGTCGATGAATTACGAAGCCTGCACGTCAAGGATTTTTCACAAAAGGGCCGCTTGTAGCTAGCCTCAAGCGGTTGTCCCTTGGACTTAGCTATCACACTCCCAGGCCATTAAGACCACCATCAACCCAGTATTCTTTTCAGGCCTCAGAAGGAAATATTGTTCCACGGTATGACAAACCACATAGTGACAGCTTACTTCATACCTCTAATAACACCCGAGATCACCTTGGCTAACTGACTATTGATTTAGATATTATGGTAGATGATCACTTCCAGTGGCTTTGCCAGATGGTGTTCATTAAAAGCTGTCTAATTCTTACTGAGTTTTAACATCGAAATGTTGCTGGTCAAAATACTTTCTGATTTATTTGGAATTGATCTCATATATATTGATTGTTACGGGGTAATGGAATAGGCATAGGACACTGATCTGTTAACTGTGAACGCTTAAAAATTTTGTCTGATCGAAAGTGCAATAATGTCTAAGACTCATTTCTAAGCTTGGAAATATAAAACTTAGCTTCCGAATTAGTTTACATCAGTGTATGTTTTGACAACTAGACGTGAAAATGATATATCTGTTATTCACCTGACTAATTTTGTTAACGTTTCATTAAACATGTGGGCCTGAGAGTTGACGTCATCTAGTCATGACGATACCACTCTCCTTGTTTTTTTCTAATTCATATCTCTGTTTATCACAGTTAACCTGTCCAGCCGGTTATCAAGCGATAATAAATAATAATTGTTTCATCTAATATAATACTTAGTTTACAGGTATTCTTTTATGCCTTTAAAATAATAATCGTTGTACATCATAACGTTAAGATAATATGCTCTTTAGCGCCCTTTTATCTGACTCAAATTGGATCGTATGAATGATTGTTATTAAAATATACTTGTCGCCAATCCTCACATATAATTATCGACTTAACTCACGTTAGTGAATAACGAAATTAAATAAATCGAAAACGAGAATGAAGTTTGAATGCGTATATTTTATACAATGAATAGTCTGAACAGACAATCAGGGAGACGGAGCGAAGAGGAGAAATAGAAGCAAAACTAAATGACGCACAGTGGAAAAGGCGAGTACGCCAAGTCGATTCAACCAAGCGTGAATCGATATAGTCAGACAAAAATGATTTCCAGGTATGTGATGAGTAGGATAAGAAATACACACATACGCTTACATAAAAACAGTCAAGATTGATAAGCGAAT